TCGCTAGACGAATCCAACGATGAGGTCCGTTTTGTCATCCGATTTCTAGAAAAAATCAGGTTTACAACCCGTATCATAGTGACAAATTTACCGTTTTGACCTTATTGTAAAAAGTTTAAATTTATCCAGGTTTTACAGTAATGTTGTTATTCTTATCCTTCGATATCTTAAATGTAGGACTTAGATTGTTGTAGCGATATAATTGACATCTTAAATTGGAAGGTTTTACAGGTGTTGATTGGATGATTGTCCCTCAAATCGCATGTCAACTATTTGTTATTGTACTTTTTTAGGGTGTAATTTAGTTTCGTGGAAGAGTAAGAAGTAAAATGTGGTGGCACGATTGAGTGCAAAAGCTGAATATAAGGCAATGACACACACTACAAGTGAGTTAACATGGTTACACCACTTTATTCAAGAGATTGGTTTCCAAGTAGAGGTGTTATTCGAGTTGGGCCAACTATGCTTAGGCTTGGCTTGATTGTGAAGGGACTTGTTTGAATTCGCCTCGGCCTCGAATACTGAGCCTAAAATTTTGCTCAAGCTTGACTTGACAAGAGCTCGTGAGCTATTGAGATGAGCTTGGGTAAAAAACGAACTCTTTTTTTTCTAAAAATTCCAATAATTACATATAATATCATTTAATTTTTTGGTGAAAACCTTAGAAATCAAACCCTAAAATACTCTATTCCTCAGCCAAAAATCAAAAATGAAAAAAAAAAGGGAGAAAGAAGACAGATCTGAAACAAATGCAACCAGAGCAGAAAGAAAAATGGAAAAAAAAAAAAGAAGAGAAGGCAGGTCGAGGCTTGATGCGTGGCCCTCCGTTTGTGTTTTGATTCACAGCTCTCCGTTTGGTGTGTGTGTGAGAGAGAGAGAAAAGGAGGAGGGACAATTTGAAATGGGCTAGAGAAAGAGAGAGGGGACCAATGGAGAGGGAGAACTTACAAGGATGTGGGGGTTTGGGGCAAGATTCAAACTTCATCTGTGAGGGAGAGAAGAGACAGAGAATGGGTATGTTTAGTCAAATATCACGTGGGTGAGGAGTGCAAAAAGAGGCAACAATGAGTGGATGTAGATTCTTTGAATGTGTTTCAGTACTTTGACAAGAATACCCCTAAAAATTTCATATATTACGGTTAAACCAATGATGAAAATGTAAAGAAAAAACATGAATTATAAATTAGTCGGCTTGGGCTGGGCTCGAATACAAAATGGGTTCAGAAAATTGATCAGATTTGACTCGTTTTATAAAACGAGCAAGCCCGAGCCGAGCCAAAAACTGAGCCAAGCCTAAGTTGCCCGCGAGCTGCACAACCCTATTTCCAACTTCAAACATCGGTTCAGTTGTTTTGTGATAATCAGACAATGTTTCATATAACTACCAATTTAGTATTTTATGAGAGGACTAAATATATTGAAGTTGATCGTCACTTCATTCTGTATAAGATATTAGGTGAGAATATTTCTACACCGTTTGATTTAGGACCTGCTTGTAGATATGTTCACTAAAGCGATGAACCAGAGTCATTTGAGAGTTATTTGTTCCAAGTTTGGATTATATGATATATATACAAGGATCAAAATATCGTTTCAAAATAGTTGAAACATCCGAAACGTTTCCGTTTTCAAGACGTTTGAAACGAAACAGTGATGAAATCAAAATTATGATATTTCGAGGTATTTCATAATGTTATATGTATTATAATATTTCAATGCATTTGCATAGTTATTTTTGAAATGTTTCAAGGTATTTCAAGATACTTTGATATATTTTCATCAATGTTTTAGAAAAATAATTTTAAAATTTTTTATTTTTTTTATTATATTTCTGAAACACATCGAAATATTTTCGTTTCTTATGTGACCGAAATAATACACCGAAACGATATTTTGATCCTTATATATATATATATATACACTCTAGCTTGAGAGGATGGAGAGTGTTAAGTAGTATACTTTGTATAGTTATAATAAGTAAACCACTCATGGGTACAATTGTATTTTCCCATTTATTGTGATACCTATTGATATATAACTTACGATTGAGAGGTAGGATGATAATTCTCTCCACCTTCTCTGTTACAATTCTACTATTCTTCTTTCCTTCTTTCTAACATTATTCCTAAACCTAAACTTAACAACACACACCATCATGATACTCCTTGAGCAATAAATCGAGGTGGTTACTCTATATAAACCTCCTCACCATGTAAAAAAACATTTTTTACATCCAACTGAAACAAAGGCTAACTAAGATTAATAGCCAAGAAAATCAACGCAAGAGTAGAGGAGATCTTATCGATATGAGGGAAATTGTCACCATAATGAATGTCATAGGTTTGAGAAAGCCTGTAGCAATAACCTAAGCTTTTCAATGTTCAACCGAACCATTAGGAGGGAATTTCAAAAGGTGACCCTCCAACAACCAACTTATGTCTAAAAGCTTAACCTTTTAGATGAGTTGGTGGCTTAACAGTTGGTATATTTACATAAAATTGGAATTGTAATTATCAATTTGACTTAGCCAAACTGTCATCCTTGGTTACATGAATCACATTTTACTTTTTTGCTTTAAAGTATTATAACTGTTGTAATGACTTTACTCCTTGGTCCTAAACTGCCTTCAAACCGTCACCCCAAGCCTTCTCTCAATATACTATACTAGAAATTACCCATGTCTAAAGGTACTATGCAACTCTAAAAAAAATCGCAAAAGCTCAAGTTGCATTAAACTAAAAGGTGACATAATATTTAGTGGGAATTGCAATGGGAGAATTATAAAACTTTAAACCAATCACTTAGTACATCAGAACCTAACAAAATAGCTCTCACTAATTTTCCAGTTTCACTAACATAACATAAAATTGTAGTGATGTTACCCCTAATTTTGAAAATCCCATTTGTTTGCACGATTTAAGGAACATTGGACTATGCCACTTTTTTATAACCTATTTCTTGTTATCCAATTAATTCCTTGAAGCACACCGACCTTCAATAAGTTGCATGATTTCAGCAAGTACAACAAATGTGTTGTATGTAGTGGAAATTCTAACAGGCAACTCTACCCCTTGAATTTTGCCTAGAGAATTGCTGGCTAATTGAACCCATTGTAGGGTCCTAATCCTCTTACTGAAACTTTTAGTGTGATGAATGATGCCCACTACCAGAATGTAAGCACATAGAGCAAATTTTATTCCATGTGATAGACTAACTCCCAACAGTTGTATAATTTTATAATATTTCCAATACATTTTTTTTAGGATAGCCTCAATTCTATGATTAGAAATAATTCTACCTATCTTATGTTGTTAATAGCGAAGAACAAATTAATGACAAATGAATAAATTAATCTCCATAATCATGATTCAACAAATGACAAAAAAAAAAAATAATAATAATAATTAGGTACCAAAACATATATACATATATGATCTATATGAAAAAGCAACCAAAATTACTATATCAAAGCTATTCTATAAAGTCAAAGACGTAAATAAGTGCAAACACAGAAAATTTTGATAAAGAGAAAATACAAAGAAACCTATCAATTAATAAACAATTAATATGCACTCATGGAAACAAAGGGAAAACATATTTACCAATTCTTTTTCCCATTCTTCACCTAAATTTTCTTGGAAACCAGACAAAAAGTTTGATGGATTCGTACTTTAGGCACCTGCAAGATGAACAACCAATTAATTATGATTTCACCTATTTATTGCAGTAAACTGAACACAAAATTAGATAAAAGAACAACATTTTCCACCAACATAAAAAAAATCAAATTTTCGTTAAATAAAAATCTCAGTTTGGTTGGTGAGAAAATGTAGAATGAAATTTGAAATCCTATATCTTATGCATAAAGTGGGAAACAAACTCAATAGTACAACCACATCTAACTCACAGTAGAAAGATTAGAATACAAATTTTTCATTCCTTTCACTCATTTTTTTCAGCAATCAAACGAAGGATAAAAATACATCAATTCTAAGAAAATTACCATAGTATGCAAAAAAACTCACCACAACCAATCTGATAACCATTTGAAAAAGTAAAACCAAGATTAGTTCCAACTTCCAAATAATTAAAAACTTTGAATTTGCAAAAAATAGAGAAAAAAACTAATCCACAGCTTGCTAATAACCAATTTGAGGACCAACTCCAAATGACCAAAACTTGAATGTGAGTTATACTCTCAACTGCCAGCTTCAATGCTATAATACGAATAGAATCAGCAAAATAGAGAATAAAACAAAAACAAAAAGTCAAAAATATCAAATCAACAATAAAAAAAATTAGAACTCAATGTTAAATAGGTTTGATATAATATGACATCAACAAAAGAATAGTCCATAAAAATGTTTCCCAACTTGTGGAAAAAATAGTAGGGAAAGTCAGTTAATTAGGTAACATTAAATCATAGGGAAGAATTCTCAAATTGCACAGTGATTGAGGAAGAGAGGGAGAGAGAATTAGATGGGAGATAAGGAAGAGAGAGAGAGGGCGTTGTTGCTGGGTGAGGTATAGGAGTCTTTGTATTAGTTAGTTGGAGATAGGAAGTGAGTTACATGAGATATAAGAGTCTTAGAAAAATTTGGCATGAGGACTGTCGGATCAATAATCGTCAAGCAATCTGAGCCGCGAAAAGCTGAAGACTAGCTACCTTTTATATAGATATTATCAGTCCTTCCTCACTACCTAGTCCACATATTTTTTGGTCTTTCCTTGCCCAATGTCGTCCCTTTTTTTTTTTTTTTTTGTGGGGGGGCGAGTGTTTCTTGTTTCATTAAGACTTGCTTCCTATTCACTCATACTACTATTTTTTATCTATAAGTGGTTGTATGTGAATGCATCATCATATCTCTTATAAAGGTCATCGTAATGCTTTTTGATGTGCTGGTTTAATACCCTTATTGGTGTTTAGTAGCTTCATGATCTTCTAAATATGGCAATCCTGAAAACTGGTCTCTCATTCCAATTTAACCTTTTCAAATTTAATGTTTGTGTTTAATACTTGCTTTCTCTTGGAAACCAAAGAAAATGTGTTCTCTTTTCCATACCAAAAAGAACAAAGAACAACAGAGCCAAAAAATGGAGAGAATTTCAGTACTCCATATTAGTTCATTGCATGGTGATAATCATTGCCAGTGGATTCCATTGACTTGGTTGCAAATGCAGTGAAACTGTAAAGGACAGATAAACATAGTAATCAAAAGCCATGTGAAGAGCATACTTTACTTCACTGCCTCCACTATGTTTTCTTGTGGTTACACTATGCATTATATTTCCTCTGGGAGCTGTGGTGAACTTCTGACAAATTTTCTACCACTTGCTATGCAGGTGTTTGTTGCTAATATTGGAGATGCAAAGGCAGTGGTTGCACGCTCATCTATGCCAGATAGTTTGCATATTATTTCGGATGGATTACGTACAGTAAAGGCCATTGTTTTGACAAGGGAACACAAAGCAATCTATCCGCAGGAACGGGCACGCATTCAGAAGGTGAGAAGTATGCATGCGGGAGAAATATTCACAGTTCAGACAAATATATGAGTTAACTATTTTTTTTTACCTTTTTTTTGTCTACGGTGATTCATAAGATTGTAAAGGGATTGGATAGACATACAATTAAAGATTAGAATTTTATTTATTTCTATTAGTTATTAGATTATTTGGTTAGCTAGTAATTATCTTATTAGGAGATTTAGATTGAGCTAGAGAATACTTCTTATTTGAGTAGGAGACTTGTCCTATAAATAATGGTATAATCCCAATTATATGAGAATTAGATTTATGAATATGAATTGATTGATTTTTCTGTGAAGAGTTTTATTTCTTATCCGATTCCTTGCGAGGATGAGATAACCATTCCTTTCTTCTCATCTTTTTAATTATATAATTTCTTTCCCATGCCTCTCTGCAGCAATTGGTATCGGAGCAAAACTCCGATCCATTAACCACACTTTGCTGCCCTAGTCTTTACCTACTGTTACTGTTCTGTATTCTTTCAAGTCATCATATTCTTCTTTCAACAAATAGCTTGCTGGATTTCATCATAAAAAAAAAAAACCATTGTCTGACCCAAGAATTGAACCAACACCACTACAATTGCACAAACCACCCCAAGACTTTTTAAAATTACATATTTGTCCCCTAAAATTTTTGAAATTACAGTTGGACCCCCGAAATTTCTGAAATTGCAGATTTAGCACCTGAAATTTCACTTTGACCCCAAAAGCTTGTGAAATTACAATTTTTACCCTAATTTTCTACAACTCCTCAAATCACTACGTACATGAAGATGGTTACCTGTGCTAAATTAAGTACTAGAATTGAAGTACATGATTCTTGGCTAGGTTCACTCCAAGCATCAATGGGTTCGCTCCACACTTCAATAAAATATATTCATGAAGGTGTACTCAAGTTGACTGCCATATTTGGAGTTAAGCTCCCAAATAAGAACTTTGCGAACAAGGTAGATATTAATTCATCTTCTTTATCAATTAATCATCAAAAATTTATTGATCAAACTTTACAATCATAGCCTGTTTTGACCTAGTTAGATCGACCATCAAAATTACTTTATGTTGATGAGCTTAAAAGTTCTCCTTCTCATCCTATTGTTTTTGATGAGCCAATTTCAAAGAATGTTCCTAAAGATGAAGTCAAGCAAGTTTCAAAAATGGTTGCTATAGATGGAGTCGCTACTTTGTCTCCATCGGTTTATATGCTTGCTTCACCTATAATAGTATATGTAGTATATGTGGACAAGACTGTGAAGGATGCAACACAATAAGGGATTGTTTTCTACTTTGGGGATATGCAATGCTATTTTTTTGGAACACAGGCTTCTTCAGACCTCTTGGAGTCCAACCTTTACTACTCTTCAAAGAAGAGTTTGTTTTAGCTAGGGAGAATTGATAGGGATTGTAAAGGGATTGGATAGACATAAAATTAATGATTAGAATATAATTTATTAGATTATTTGGTTAGCTAGTAATTATCTCATTAGGAGATTTAGATAAAGTTTTAGGTAGAGAGTACATTTTATTTGAGTAGGACACTTGTCCTATAAATAATGTTTTAATTCCGATTATCAGAATTAGATTTATGAATATGAATTGATTGATTTCTCCGCAGAGATTTGTGTTTCTTAACCAATTCCTTGTGAGGATGAGGTAACCATCTCTTTCTTCTCTTTTTTTTAATTCTCTAATTTTTTTCCCATACCTCTTTGCATCACAGAACAACTAGGGTAACTTATCATGGAGTCCTACTAATTCATGGGATGACTTGCTTAAGGCTTAAGCACTGTTAAATGGCACAAAAGCAAGTTCTCGTTCAATTTGTTGCTTGGCAACAAGCTCAAGTGACAACTTTAGTTCTATTAGGCTTGCAAAAGGTTGAGGTAGACTCACGTAGTTGGGTTGCCTTATGAAATTGCTTAAAATAAAAAATTAAAAAAATCCAATTATAGTATGAAGCCGGTGAGGCATGACAAAGAATTGATTGAGGTTTCATGGTAGGCTGCAATTGCTATTGTGCACTCATAATGTGGAAGATTTGTTGGGTTTGAAAAGGGTATTTGAACTCAATTCACAGCTAAGCAGCACAAAAACTGTTGATTGTTTGATCCAAACTGTGGTTGTTTTTTTGAATTTTCTTTGCTGATTCTTACTCTATTTTTCACAAGCTTCCCTTTTAATTTCTTTTCCACCTCGTCTCTCTCTCTCTCTCTCTCTCTCTCTCTTTGTGGCAGGTTTCTTTGCTCTATTTGAAAATGTAACTTAGTTCTTTGAATTGGCAGATCCGTACTTTGTTCTTCGATAAACATTGTTCATTCTTGATGTCTTGAATTGGCTGCTCCGTACTTTGTAGACTGTGCACTAGAGTTTTTCATTTTTGAGGAGAGTAGGAAAGCTTTAAATCCCAAGCTTTTATGGGTGGATATCATTCTACATGATCTTCACTAATGCTAGGGAATTGTCTCCTGTTTGGCATGTGATGTGGACATGCTAATCACACTTGCCTACAACACTAACACAAACAAGAGCTACTGCATACCTTGCTTCTGGATGTAAGAAGAAAGAAGAAGGGGAATGTTTTTGCTTACTTCTATTGTATTCGTAACTGATTGTTGTTTCTTCTATGAATGACCAAAATTTAGGAGGTCAAATGAGGATATTAATCCTTGGATATTTGAAGTTGAGTATCCAGGAAAAAGTAGAATATTTGATGGAAGAACGGGGGATCCTTTTGAACAACCTGTTATAATAAGAGAGCCTTATATCTTGAAATTAATTCAAGTTGATAAAATCCATGGACGTTTCAGTGGCAGGTATAGGAAGGACTTCTTACAAGAGCACTAGAGAACAACCTATATCAAGGATGGTAGCTGACTAGCATTCACAAGAAGGCACTGATGGTGGGATGAGTTCCTTGATTTACTAGTCAAGAGATTCTCTAGAGAGCTATTACTAAAGATTCAATCAAGAAGGAATTTCCTCATCACGAAAATTCGAAGGTCTGATTCCACCTAGTGGCGAATTCAACCAACAGAGAAAGCAACCCTAGCCTTTTTTGAAGCCAACCTACTTGCCATTTTTCTTTGATGTCCTCCTCGTACTGCTAGTCATTGCTCTTCCTGCTAACGAGTTTTATCTACATTAACAAGGACTCATGTATCAGATTTTGAATCCCCAGCTTTCTCTTAAAAGTTGTAGTGATTATTCACCAACTAAGCAATTTTAGAGGATTCGTGGACTTTGCTTGCTTGGGGTTTCCCTTTTGAGTGACATATTCATAGACTTAAGAGTGTAACAACATCTAAAAATCTGGAATAAGGATATCTTTGGCAAGTCTAGTCTCCCCTTTGCTCCACAAGGATCAAGATTAAAGGAGTAGGAGGGATTCTCTTAGCTTGGTTGGGATTTAGGATTTCTCGTAATTGCCAATTAGCTCCTGAAGTTAGGTTGCTTTGCCTTCCCTGCCCTATCCTATTAGCCAATGTAGCGATACCTGGGCTGGCGGGGTAAATGCATTAAAAAGGGACAAATTTTAGTGAATGGCACCACTACAGTTGGTGGCAACTTGCTTTGGGAAAAAATGTATTAGTAACTTATATGTCATGGGAAGGTTACAAATCTGAAGATGCAATTCAAACGCTTTCATGGTCCCTTTTTGATTGATTCTTATTGAGCATCTTGAATCTTGAATCGATCAAACTAACGACAACCTCATGTTGAAAACAACTTAACACAGTCGTCCCAAGTGATTGGGGAGATTGGTGGTGCTATTAAAGTTTAATTAATTATAAAATGTGTTGGCCACGCATGGAGGCTGGTCAATATAGTGCATATTCCCTGTTTTTGTGTGTGTTCATTTTTGCTTCTGCTGACATAACCTGAATCTGCCTACCATGAACTTAATGAACTTTTCCACTGATGACCATGCTTTGCTTCTCTAGGCTGGTGGATTTGTGAGTTCAAACGGCCGACTACAGGGTCGCCTTGAAGTTTCTAGGGCCTTTGGAGATCGCCAGTTCAAGAAGGTTTTTACTGCTTGCTTTATGCAGAGTTTGGATAGTTCCTGTTACTTTTCCTGATGTAATATCTTGGCAGGGAAAAAAAATTCATGTGTGGCATTGTAAAGAGAAGACGATGCTTTGATGGCAACTTATTTTCCTTTTATTAGGGGATCTTGGTATTTCTATATTTTTTCTGTGTCCACTTTCTGAGTTACAGAATTAACAGATTATACAGTTGTAATGAAGATCAAATCAAGTGCCCAATATCTACATTCATTAGAATTAATAAAACATGATTTTGTTTGCATATATTTCAGTTTATACTTATCTCTGCAAACAGAGATGGCTATCCTGCCCCCAGCCCTGCAGTGGCGGCAGTCCTCTGCATTGGCCGGTTCTTTTTTAACTTCAGTATATTCTTAATTGTTCCAAAGTAACTACCCGTAAATATCCCAAAGGTACTTTGAACTTGAATAAAATGGTGATGCAATCTGACATCTTTTAGCAAGTGGTACCTCTCACACACATACTTTACTCTATGATATTTTCTATATACATTTGAACTTTGAATTATTGCAGTGTTTTTCTTTGTTGTTACATATTCATGCAACCCAATAGTCAATATAGTTAAAAAATTCAGTTGAGGCCAAACAGGTTCTTGAAAAATACTCCATGGTATGTGATCTTACAGACACCAATTGCTTTAAAGAGGAGAAATTCTTGTTGACCTTGAGGACTTAACATGCTGACCTTGAGGACTTAAAATTGGAAAGAGTGAAATTAGCAAATTTTGTTTTAGTCAATAGGTCAGTTCCCAATAATGGGTTGGTTCTGGTTGTTTTAGTGACATATGTCAGAACAAAGAATTCACTACCGTGGTAAAGGCCAGCTGGACTTTAAGTTATAGTCTATTACTCGCTGGTTTGGAACCCTTCCATAGAGAAGCAGCAGGGACAACGCGCACATGCTCTTCCCATGTCCCACTGAAAACTAGGTTGTCGAGGATACCAATACAGAGTGATCAAAGATGAGTCTTCCTACTTGGGGACTAGGCCATTTCCGAAGTCAATACCAGAATCATAATTGTATGGATCACTTTTGGTAAACAGGCTGAGACAACAAGACAATGATTATTTCTATCTTCATAGAACATCATTGAGATAGAAGGCAAATGTCGGAGCAGGGGTAGGGATATAATGTTAGATTAGCACTGGGCCTCCTTGGGTAAGTTAATAAAAATGAAGCTTTGAAATGGTTGTGGAAATTTGTCATTCAAATAGCTTGAACAAAGAATATAGTTGAAGAATGTCAAAAAAAAAGTGGTTGTAAGAATGCTAGATTTGGAAAAGTGGTGGAGATGCTACATATAAGACACCTAATGATTGAAAAATGGGGCAAAGGCTTTTAAAATGGTTTGGTGGAGGCAAAGGAAAAGTAGATATAATCTTGCTAAGCATAATAAGATTGAGTAATCAAAAAGCTGTTGGATTTTTTTGAATTTTTTGGATGAAGATATGATGAATAATCTTTATACAAAAAATTAAAAATGTTTATATATATATATATATATATATATATATATATATATTTTTTGGGTGGGGGGGATAGGGGGATTCTTAATGATATGCCTTTTTTTTTTTCCGATTTCTTGATTTTTTGAAGGAATAGATGATTCAACAGTAAAGCTTAAGTTGATGAGTGCAAGTGCGCGAATAAAACTTTGATTATGAGAGCGGTCACTTTGTCTTTTTTCGATAGAAAATAGTAAATTTTATTAATAAATAAAATTATAAATCCTATCCAAGGTGGATAAGACATTCAACCCAAAGATAGGTAAAGCCAAACATTATAAAATCAAAAACAAAAACAATGGAATATAATCATGCTATATCCCAAATGAGGCTGTCCAATTCGCAGTAATACGAAGAGAGAAATATTCCCAAACTTCTTAGGCACCAATGCCCAAAAATAGGCCAAAAAATAATTTGGCTCCATTAATCTTTCACCTCCTTACTTTTGTCATCAAATATCTTCCTCGTTAAAGTATTGCTGTCATACTTATGCTCAATCTACCCCTCCTAGCACCCTGTATTGATGCTACCAATCCTAGACAATGGTTTTTTTCTAAGGAGTGTCCGTGGATTCATGAATGGACATGCATGTGGGTGTTGTGTTGTGAATTCATATACTAATGCCAATTAATTTGCCCTATTCATAATAAAGAGATTCCTTTTTAGTTAACGGACTTTCAGCCAATCACTTTAGTTCTAGCCTTTATAAGATTTTGGACAAAGTCTTTTCTAGGATAATTTGGGAAGCATTACATTAGACTATCTATTGAAATGAAAGGTTTTGGCTTAAGATAGAGAAAGTGGATTATGGGATGTTAAGAACAATCAATTCCTCCGGTGCTTCAAAAGAGTATTTTGAAGCAACTAGAGGTCTTAGATAAAGAGACCCTGTTGCACATTTCATGTTTACTTTGGTTGTTGATATGTTAAGTAGAATGAAGGATAGAGCTAGGGAAACAGTGGAGATGACCCATTTACTGTTTGCTAATGATACTATTTTTTTTATTTTTTGTGAGGAAAATATTCACTCAAATCAATGTGCAAGAAGACAAGTTGGTTAGATAGGTACTGGTTGAAGCGTTAGGGTGTTCTATCCCAGAGTGGGCTTTAAAATATTTGAGTTTACCATTGGATAAAATTTGAAAGCTCTTAACTATTGGGGGTCATTGGTTCAAAGGATTGGTCAAATGTTAGATGGGTGGAAAATTCAGTGCTTGAGAATATTCATATTTACTACATGTTCTTGTGTAGGATGCTTTTTAAGAAAGTGAAAATGATTGAAAAGATGAGAAGAGAATTTTGTTGGAAAGTAGTGGTGAAGGCAAAGAAGACCACTTGGTAAGTTGGGATGTGGTGTGGTGTCTCAGTCTAAAATTAAGTGAGGTCTTGCTTTGGGTAACTTAAAGTTTACACATCTCTTGGTAAATTTTCCCATTGGGCATAATAGTTTATAACATTCAGTGAGTAAGAGAAAATATGAGATTCAAGAGTGTGTTGGATTCTAAGGTGTGTCAGAGAGGGTGTGCTCAATATCTTTTTAGAAGGGCTATATTTTTTCCAAACATATCAAAGATGTTGTGGTAATCGGAAAGACTTGGTTTTGGGGCCGTGGGTGGGGGTGGGGGTGGTGAATCTCCTTTTGCATTCATGTTCCCTTATTTATATCAGTTATCCAGCTCTCACAACTCATCCATTGCTGGTGTGGTATCATCTTTGTCCTTCCCGGCTTGTTGAAATATTAAATCTATGGAAATATGAAAGATAGAGAAGAAGTTGGGGTTGTCTTCTACTTTGGGTGATTTTGACAGAGTTGTTTGGATTCACTCTTCTTTGTTTAAAAGAAGATGGATAAGTTGTTCTTTGGGGGAGTATCTTGTAAGTCTTCCTTTGAATCCTTGATTGGTGAGCCAGCTATTTTGTTCTTTGAAACTTAAATATGATTTGGAAGTCTAAGGCACTATTCAAGGTACAAGCTTTTGCATGGTTGATAGCGATTGCTTTGGAAAAGAATGCTGTAGTATTCTCCTCAACCACAATGGTGCTTTCTTTGTAAGAATTATGCGGAAAATATGGATAATTTTTCTTTAAATTGATCCTTTGTCTCTTATTTATGGAATAGGATTTTGGAAATTGTTGGGATCCTTGGCTATTTCCGAGTAGTTTTGACCTGATTCTTATTATTGTACTTGATGTCTTTGGGGAATGGAACGAAGTTAACACTTTTTAGAGATGTGCAGTATTACCTTTTGTTTAGGTGGCATAGTTGGAAAGAAATGGGAGGATTTTTTTATTATAAGGAGGCTCCTTGGGAAAACTTGTTAGAAAGAATCTCATTCTTTACATTTTTATGTCCAAGGCTTCAAAAGGAGTCCTTTTGTTTTGAGGAAAGACCATTGGGCTCAAGTGTGTGAGTAGTGTTGACAGATGACCACCTTTGTTTCCCTGGCTCTTCTTTTCTATTTAGCTTTCTCTTATTCCTCCCCCCTCACCCACTTGGCTATTGAGAACTCCTTGTCCTCTCATTGATTATGTTTTATACATAATATTCTCTCGTCTACTAATAAAAAAAAGCAGATCACGAAATTTACCGAAAATTCTCCTATATATTTGGTGCTAGCCAAATAGGTATAAAATATTCCACTATATGTCCAGTCTGTCTAGTAGCTGATATACATTATTTTCTTATGTGAGATGTGTGTAGAAAATTTGTTTAACTCTACATGGTGTTAATAAATCATGGACAATTCTAGACAATCATTTTACAAACATCTAGTTCAGTATTCTTAATTTATATACCAAACATCAAATTTGCTCTTGAACTGTTGAACATTAGTGCAATGTATGTTGTATTTTATCTCTGAGAAGTATGGTAACTGCAGGTTGGTGTTATTGCAACCCCAGACATTCACTCTTTTGACCTGACAGAGAGAGACCACTTCATCATTCTGGGCTGTGATGGCTTGTGGGGGGTATATCTTCTATGAACAGCCTTCCACTCTACATTTGGAATCTATTTTGTCATGCATTCTCTTCAAGTTTATCCCTCTCCTGTGTTGTTTTCAGGTTTTTGGACCAAGTGATGCTGTTGAATTTGTTCACAAGCTATTGAAGGTTTGCCCGCTTTCACATTCCCTTTATTTTTTGTGACTATTACCTTTTAGGAGTTATGCAATGTTGGGTTGAAGTTTTGGTGGATGGTAAAAAATAGGATTTAAAAACTCTGGCTTCTAATTCAACAGTGACATGAATGTTAAGTTGAAGTTGGTCTTTGTGTTCATGACAGCCTCTAAGTGATGTGCGCCTCCCCCATTTCTTTTCCTTTTGCTCCCCTTTATTTCATAGTATGTACTTATGTTTTGAAACTTTGTTAGAGAAACAGTTTTTGTCTATCTCCATGGGACATCAACAACTCGTATGCTTAATTACTTAGTAATATGCTCTTTTATCTGTATTGAGCCACACAAGAGCTCTATTTTGTTCCTTTTTTTTGGAGCCCATTTTGTTGTGCTAAGATCATTTTTGGCAAATAAGTTTCCCATGATTTGTGTAGTGACAACAGTTATTTCATTAGTAAAACCTCCAGTAATGTGACCATTGGTTATTTTTTAAAGGGAAACATTTTAGTGCACCTCCTTGAACCTAAGGGAAACGTAAATTCTTAGTATTACATATTTTACAAGGGAGTGCAACTCAAAAAAAACTTGTTCCAACATTTTTGGAGTCAATTACTTGAATCTTGTTTCATTGTGTCTATTAAGGGTCATATTTTCTGTTAAATCACAAGTTATCATATCTTTCTTTACTATTTCATTTGAAATTAATATTTTTTTTTCTCTACTCCTACGTTTTGTCATCAATAGATATCGTATCACTCTTTCTCATCAATGTCATAGTAGGCCGTCTATAAATATCTCCAAATTACATAAGTCGATTCTCCCTAAATTTATCTCTAATATGTGTTACTTGTACTTTTCCATGGATAAACTTGTTCTTAATTCTACCTTTCTTAGTTTTACTACACATCTATCTTAACATTCTCATTTTCACTTTACCAAAATTCTGAATGTGGTGTTTTGTAATTGCCCAACATTTGGTACCATAAAGCATAGTGGTTCTTATAGCCATTCTATAGAACTTTCCTTTTAGCCTAAGGGATACGTGTCTATCGCATAATACACCAGATGCATTCCTCTATTTAGTTCATCTTATATTAATTTTATGAGTAACATCAAACTCACACTCTATGAGTGATAGACCTTAAATATTTAAAGTGTTCACTATTTGGCATGGTTTAAGGTTGTAGTATTGGTTATCGACTCGAAGGATACTAATACACATTGGTTATGGCATCTCGACACGCACAAAAAGCTAGATAAAAGGTCCAATTGTTTTTTTTCAAAAAATATGAAAAATTATAAAAAATGAAAATAACTAGATCCGTGCATCATATATTCAAAATACATTCTCAAACATGATATACTTAATGAAATATAATGTAAGGCTGCTACCGGAATAAAAAAATTAAATATATGTTACTATAATTATTTTGAACATGTTTTGAAGTTAGAAATAATAATAAATAAATAGTTATTTATAAATTGTAAATTTGATAAACTAGAAAAAAAAAAGTCATGAAT